CTCGTGCGTGTGATGGTTCTTTATGATTTAATAAATAAACGACACCAACCTGATTGCGGGATTAAAAAAAAAAAAAACAACACTTTCATATATTAATACAATGAGTTAAATGTTAACTTGCCAACAGTAATCATATAACTAATATTAAAAAGAAAATTTAAAACAATATATTTTATCAATAGTACTAAGTAGTCATAAATATCTACTGTTATCAGTACATGGCGAGTCTGTCGCTAATTTGAACTAGGTCGTCATGTAATGATAGGTGTGTAGGGGCTTGTGTCGCTTGCTAACCAAAGACACTTGTTAATAAACTCCCTTCTTTCTAGTCGCCGGTCTAATCCTATACCACAAGCTGTTGTAGTCTCTCAAAATTCTATAAGTGGCAAACAACCAATTAAGGCAAGTTTATTAATTATAATGGTGCAATTACAAGTATTACAAGTTTATACAATAGCGATGGTTACTTCTTTTTTTAACTAGCTAAACCCTCCCTATTTATACCTGCCACGACGTGTATGTTGATCTACCGTCGCATCCTGCAAATCTCCTCTTAAACTATTTAGACTTCTTGATGCCGAGTCCGATGGATCGCGCCCTGTCACGTGACAAACATCGATCCCAGAGACTCATACATTTTTCCCCGCTAACACTACTCAATATCAAGAAAATTAGAATTATAATTGAGAAATAAGGAAGTTAGACTATAGATATATTTAGAATAGTTATATTCAAATTAAATAAATGTACTAGTAATAAGAGAAGACAGATTAAAAATAATATCTTCTTGTAGATTAGTATTAGGTGTATTTTTAATCTGTAAGATATTCTTGTTTTTTGGTTTGGAAAAATTAAACAGATTGTAGGATTCAGTATAATTTCACTTAATTCTGATAAGAAGTAAAATATTAACTATAAAACAGTATAGTTTTCAAATCAGATTATGTAATTGGATTGAAGATTTTATTGCTACCTTGATTTAGTTAACAGGAGTTGAAGTAAAGAAGATATTATTTATTATTTTATATATCAATTTGATAATTTTCCATATATGTAAAATAGGTTTGTAATTGTTATTTGAATAAAGAACTTGATAAATAGTTTTGATAATTTGGTTAACTATTTTTGAAGTCTCAATGCACTTGAAGATATATTAAATGTCTTTGATGTGAAACTTGCATTTTGAACAAAGAGTGTCTAGATATTGGCTAGAATAAAGTTAATAAAATATATGACAAGTAGGAAGAGTTTTTGAAAACAATTTGATTCTGAATGTTACTAAGATACTGTATTTAAGTTTTTTGATATTTTGTTAGATTAATTAATAACTTTTAAGCTATATAAAATATGAATTTGTCCAAAAATTTAAATAACAAAAAAGATTTCACAAATTATATAATCTTTAGTGATATTAAAGATTTTCTTGTATTATTTAATGCTACTATCCAAACAAGTATTATTAATTAATGAGTTTTCAAAAAAAATACAATAAGAGGTTATTATATTAAATAGTTTTAGTTAATACTAATCTGAACTTGGATTTGATATATACAATCTCTATAGACTTTAGTTGTATATATTGATTTATTTTGAGTTAAAGAGGAGAAATTGATTTTAACTATTCTTTTTGAATACTCAAATACAGATTGCAGAATTTTTTTGTTGTTTTTGATTTTGATAGTGAAATGGTATGGAATTTATTGAACAATATTAAGAATTGCCAGTAGAATGCTATCTGATAATAACTATATTGATTTATTTCTTTAACTATTTTATTACTAATAATACAATCTTATTAATTTTTTAAAAATCATATTTACAGTTTTTTTCAATAAATAAAAATTATTTGATAATTAATTAAAAGTAATTTTCATAAATTAAACTTTTTATTTTATTAATAAATATAATTTTTATATTTTAAGTAAACTGGTTCTTTATAATAATTTATACTATATATATAGTTAAATTTTTATTAAATTTAAACAAACTTTTATTATTATGTTCAATGCTTTTTTTTTAAATAAAAATTTTTAATTTTTTTATTAAAATTTGAACACTTATATAATTTTTATAATTACTGTTTTAACAAGTAATTTAATATTAATAAATTTTATTTAGCATATATTGATATATTTAAATATTAAGTTTTACAAATTTTTATTTGATATTTAAATTTTTATTTAATAAAATGTAAAAAAATATATTTTAATAAAAATTATAAAATTTAATATTAAATATTTATTCAAATATAATAAAAACTTTTATAATTTCAAATATATGTTTTATTTAATAATTTCAATAAAGTTGTAACAATTTTCTACTTTTACTATATCATATACCATGTAATCAGAAACCTCTGGGACACCCTGGCATACTCTGGAATATTATAAAACTTTTTTGAATATTATTAATTATTTATTATTAATTATTGTGTTTATTATATTTATACTTATTTGAAAAACAGAACATTATATTAAGTATATATAACATTTATTATATTATTTTTTTTCTTTTATTTTACATTTATGATACATAAGACCTTCTGGAAGAATCAATAAGGACTTATGTATTAATAATATGGATTTCTATTTATATATTTTTATAGATTATTATGTAATAAAGAATAGTTATTTAAAGGAGACCTTTTTACCTTTGTAGCAACTCAGATTGTATTTTTGTTTTTAAGTTAATAAAATAATTATTTTTTCTAAAACTTGTAGTTTTATTTTTGACTTGAATATAACTTATTGTTTAAACTGTTACAATACATTTAAACTCTTAAAATACATTTAAACTCTTACAAAAGTAAACTTTGATCATATTTTTTTTAAAAAAATAATAAATTTATAAAAAATTATTCAATTATATTTTTAAATTAATTTTTATTTAAATTAATTTTTTTTTTAATTTTAAATAAATATTTATAGGTACTTGATTTTATTTAATAAAATATCTTGTTTTAAATATATAATTTATATTATACAAAAATCAAATAAAAAATAATATTTTTGATTTCAATAAAATTTTTTGTTATTTATCTTATAAATATAAATATACATTTTTCTATATAATATTATTTATTATATAGTATGTCTTAATATTATATAATATAAGAACAAAATTTCAAACAGTTTAAAGAAAAATAAATACATAAATAAAAAGGAAACAGCAATTGTTATTCCATTTTAAAACAACAATTTATCTTTAGCAATATCATAATAAATTATATACAGTATATTATGATTTTACAATTAAAAATTAAAAATCTAAATTATTTTTACCTATCTAATTTTGAGCAATTAAAATTTCAAAAATGTTTACAATTTATTGATATATCAATATACAGTATATTAAAATCATATATTGAAAAATCAAATAAAATAGATATCAATTAATATTTCAAAAAAGATTACAGATATCAAATCATTGCTTAATAAAAAATTATTTACAAAAAAATAATCGACAACTTTATTTTATTAAAAAATAGATAAATTCCAAATGTTTATTTTCAAATCATAAAAGCTTGTTCACTTCATATTTTGTATCTTTTCACATAAATTAACAAAGAATATACAAAGTTTACAAGTTAGTATGTTTATTCATACTATTTAAATAATTACAGAATGTAAGTTGATTGACGAGTAAACTGTACTGTTTAGCCTAAACCAAATAGAGATCTGAGAATTATTAAAAAAAAATGTAAAATAAAAATGTTTAAAAAAAAATTAGCAATTTAAATTACTTTAACAAAAAAATAAAAAATGCTGGCGCCTATTTTTTGATAAATTTTAAACCCGATACCAAGTAGCCTTAATTATGTATTGACAAAATAATAATTAATTTTTTTGTGTAATATATAAAAAAGTAAATCAGGGGTTTACCCCAGTTCCAAAATCGAGTTTTACTTTTCGAGGTGATTATATAAATACCTATGTATGCTATACTGATAAATTAATATGAGAAAATGTTACATGTATAATCACAAAATATTCATACATTATGTATATAAGTAAAATTGTAAGTTTAAAATTTTCTTTCCCAGAATTTCGTGCACTCATCTAATAATATGAATTCTATGATTATCGAATATGTCACAGACAGATAAGAATAATGATAAAATTTGTCAGTTATATAATTTCATTTTTTTAAAAAAAAACTCCGAGAATTATATGATAGGTGTTTACGAAACATTCAGCTGGAAGATTCATCGCCATCACCTAAATGTCTTCCTTCAGCACAAAGTGTAGTTTCCTGGAAATTTACAGTAATTTGAGAGGAAGTGTTATTAGGATTTTCATTCGATGGATCATCTCGAGCAGACACTGGTAATTCGGCATTTTTCGATATGCAGTCAGCCTTACACACAGGACATAGTGAAGAGATATCCAATAACCACGGATCTATACATACTCTTTAAAAGAAAAAAAATACATTAAGCTATGGTTATCTTTTTGACAAGTACTTGTTTTTAAGAAATTTACGATATAGTCTCACCTGTGATATTGGTGATTGCATGGTAGAATTCTTAGTTCTTCCCCAGGTAAGAAATCACCCAAGCAAATAGGACACGTTAATTGTTTGTCCATTATTTTACTGTGATCACTGTGAATTTCTATAATTTCATCATCCATCATAATATCATTGCCCCCAATATGTGTCCTTCCTATATTATGAGATTGATTAGACTCTTCCGTTAGTTCTTTATAATTTCCTTTCTCTAAATCGTTGCTGATGTCATCTTCAATCTGCGGAAACAAGTAAACTGGAAAGCTATCCAATAAAGTATTGGTAATGCCATTTCCTTTACTCCTGTTATTCTGATCATTTCTAACATCAGAAGATTCGTTGTTTACTGACGATGACCAAATTCTTGCCTTTAAGAAGCACAAAATTATTTGTCCAGATATAACTGCAATAACGATGCAAATAATGATTATGACTTTACTTTTTAATCTGTCGTTATAGTAATTCTCATCAAATATTGCCTTTATTAGCGCATCAGGTGGCTGGTCAAATCGATTATTGAAAATAAAGGTTTTGCATTCTGAATCAACCTCGAAGAATACTGGTACAGATATATTATCTGGTAAATATATATCACATAAATTGTCATGGATAGGGTATAAGACTACTGCCATTGCTTTGTTATTCTGTGCCGAAAATATATCACGTATTGTATCCACTGAATCATTGCAATTAATGTAGCCTATCCACGAGATACTAATGTTCAAGTATTCGGATGGTTGAACATATAACAAACCCTAGAATGAAAGCGGTTTTTCTTAGCGCAAGTTAATCGAGATCTAGCAATTTTACGAATTTGTTATTCCCGTACCTCGACGCGACCGACGAAAGGATTTGCCAAGTTTGATAGGCTGCACGTGACCAAAGAATCAATAGACATGGAGTAAATTTTCTGTGCTTCATAGACATGCAACATCATCAAATTCCATAATATCGTACTTATCAGCGCATATGACGGTCGCATTTTTAGGAGAGGAACCGTTTTAACTTTCCGCGCATTTATATATACATTTTTACGTATTCTTAAAGGACATCTCAGAATGTAAAGTAAACTCTCATAACCTCA